GAGCCAAAGCCGGTATATTTTGCCCCAAAAACATCCAAAACCTTAACAGCGTTGCCAGCATTTCCCCTATTTCCCCCACCTACCGGAGTGCACTTAAAGATCCAAATTGGTACAATGCTATGTTAGATGAATATAATGCTTTGATTGCTAATAATACATGGGATTTAGTACCCCCCCCCCCCCCTAACCAAAATATTATCTCTGGAAAATGGCTTTTTAGACACAAACTTAGCCCCACAGGTGAACTGTCCAGGTACAAAGCTCGATGGGTTGTTCGAGGGTTTAATCAGCGGCATGGCATTGATTATGACGAGACTTTCAGCCCAGTGGTCAAGCCCGCAACCATACGGATCATCCTCAGTCTTGCTGTGTCTTGTGGGTGGCCAATTCATCAACTAGATGTCAAAAATGCCTTTCTACATGGAGATCTCACTGAGACGGTCTACATGGCCCAACCATCCGGGTTCCAAGACCCGTCTCGTCCCCATTATGTCTGCAAATTGAACAAGGCGCTCTATGGACTGAAACAAGCACCCCGGTCCTGGTACCAGCGTTTCACCGGCTTCTTACTCTCTCTTGGGTTCCGTGGCTGCAAGAGCGACACTTCCTTGTTCACATTTAGCCAGGGGTCTCAGATGGCATTTCTCCTACTCTATGTAGATGACATCATTCTCACAGCTTCCTCACAGGGCCTTCTTCAGACGGTCATCCAACGTTTGAAGGGTGAGTTTGTCATGACTGACATGGGGGATCTTCACTTCTTTCTCGGAATTAATGTTCAGCGCACCACTCATGGTCTGTTCCTCACACAGACACAGTTCCTGTATGACATCTTAGATTGGGCGGGCATGCTCTCTTGCAAACCAGTTTCCACCCCGGTTGATACACGGGGTAAGATGTCGGCCTCCAGAGGATCACCCGCCGCGGACCCCTCTCTGTATCGGTCCATCGTCGGGGCACTGCAGTACTTGACTTTTACTTGTCCGAATATCACTTATGCAGTCCAGCAGCTCTGCCTCTTCCTCCATGCCCCACGCACGTCCCACGTCACCCCCATGAAGCGGGTCCTCCGGTATCTCCATGGCACACCTTCACACGGCATCTCCATCACTCTGTCACAGACGGACCACATGCGCGCCTACTTAGATGATGACTGGGCCGGGTGCCCTGACACTCGCCGCTCCACATCCGGATATTGCATCTTTCTTGGCGACAACCTCATCTCCAGGTCCTCCAAGCGCCAACTTACCACATCTAGATCTAGCGCCGAGGCCGAGTACAGTGCAGTAGCGAATGCCGTTGCCAAAGTCAGCTGGATCCGGAACCTTCTCCTCAAGCTTCAGCAGCCCCTCAGCCGATCCACACTTGTCTTTTGCGACAACATCAGCGCGGTCTACTTATCTGCAAATCCTATTAAGCATCAGCGCACGAAGCATATCGAGGTTGATATTCATTTTGTTTGTGACAGGGTAGCTCTCGGACAGGTTCATGTACTTCATGTCCCTTCGTCACTTCAGTATGCAGACATCTTCACGAAGGGTCTCCCATCCATCATCTTCTCCGAGTTCCGGGATTGCTTGGGGGTTCGGCCTTCCTTACCAGCGCCGTCGGAAGCATGTTAAATATATTGTTACTATATTTAATATTGTAATTATTGTAGTTACCTTAAGTGTATAGATTACCATTAATATGTTTCCTACCCTAACTAGGAAACCCTCTTGTATATATACACATGTAATTTCCCTATTATCATCATTGGAAAATATTCATTCTTCAAGGGACTCAGCAAGTATATCAAACTAGGCTAGAAATATCCATAGAAAACCAAACAAGACCAGAAAGATTTAGATTCAAACAAAACATGTACTCTGTATCTTAGACAAGAATGTTAAACAAATTTAGAACATTTAACTCAACCCAGAGCATATAAAAACAGATACCTTCATGACCACAAGGATAAAAGAAAAAAACAAATCTCATCATATTTCTTTCAAACAAAGAAAATAGATCCTTAATGATAAACTTTCTATTGTTTCCTCTTTTGGGAGCAAAGTTAAGTAACATCGAGGTGAAAGTTAGAAAAAATATTATACTACAAGTATAATTCAAGACAATGGGGAAATAGAGATGATGTTAACCACATGATTCAAGCCGGTTGGTCATAATGACGGAGTGCTTCGGGCTTTATATGTGACAAAAAAACTAGCTTTAAAACTAAAAGAAAAATTTTATTATTCTGCGATTAGACCAGCTATGTAGTATGGAGCAGACTTTTGGGCAGCAAAGGGTGAACATAAATACAAAATTAGTGTGGCCGAAATGAAGATTCTTCGATGGATGAACCGTAAAACGGATATGGATAGAATAACGAATAAAGATATGCGGGCTACAGTTGAAGTGAGACCTATTGTAGAAAAGGCAGTGGAAAGTGGAAACTCGTACATGTGGTTTGGACATGTGAAGAGAAGACCAATAGAGCTAAGCATCCAGTGAGAAGTGTTGATCAAATGGTGAATAGACATGTCACTAGAGAAAGAGGTAGACCTAAGAAGACTTTAGCATGAAGTAGTCAGAGGATCTTTACGCGAATGATCTCGCTGCAGATATAGTATACGATGGGGCGCAATGACATCATCGATGTAGCCAACCCCATCTACTGGGATAATGCTTTGTTGTTGTTGTTCTTTTTTGTTATTTCTTTGTTTTGAAGTTTTTATTCTTGAACAAATGATCTTTAGAAAACATTTTTTTTGTAAGATTTGTGAACGTGTATATACTTTTGGGACCTAAGACCTTACTGGATTGCTTTAGACACTAGTAGTAGAACAAGTAGGATAAACTAAGCTTAAGAGCCCGTTTCTGTATTTCACATTGCATTAACATTTTAACAAAAACATTGAATATATAATTATAAATTATTTATGGTGCATATTAAATTTTAAAAATAGATTGGATACATTGAAATGTCTCACTCATAATGATAATGCATGGCAAAATCTTTATAAACAAGGAGATAATTGTGCAAAAAACAAGGTTAGGGCTTTGTTAAGAAAGACAATTTAACCCATCTTACTTGTTAAAATCAAGATATAAACTCCTCAAAACATGAAACCCCATATAATTAAGAAAGTACTAAAAATCTTGGGAAAAAAAGCAAAGAGGTAAAAAAGTTATTACTCATACATTTCATCGAGCAGGTGGCGTGCAGATCCGATTCCAAAGAAAAACCCTACCTGAAATTGACAATGACCGTCCGTCAGCCGTCTCTTCCAGAGCCTACTCCGTCCGGTGGGTTGTCGTCGGCGATGGTTTTAGATTCGGCGGTGGCTCCATGGTTCTGTGGTCGCCGTTGAGGATCGTTCGAGAACTGGGGGCCCATGTCTTGGAGCCTAGTCCTCACAACACTAGTCACCAGAACTGAAATAAATATAAAAGAGGGAAGCTAAGTTATATCCGCCGCGATGGGAATGATGAGGGAATGGAAGAAGAAGAAGAAGAAGAAGGTGGCCGGAAAAGAATACCGGCGGCAGTTCCGATGGTCCAAAGCCAGAGGATCTTCACTCCGGGTCCTCTGTCTTTCCACATTTTTATTTTTTACCTCGCGTTTCTCGGTGTGGGTTCGAACCTTTGTCCCTTTTAACTCAGTAATGGTACTGAACTTTCATTAGAATTTTGAAGTGTTACCTGAACTTTAAATCCTTTCACAAAAGTACCTGAACTTACATAATCATTTCACTAAAGGTCTATTTACCCGTTTTCAGATTAACTTTCGGTCATTTGACTAAATTAAAATTTTATATATTTTAAATTTTTCAATTTGACTTCATTTCTTATTTTTTCTTCTTCCCCCCTCCCACTCCCTTCTTCTTCTGGCGGGGTGGGACTGGGAGTGGGGTGGGGTGGGGTGAGGAAGAAGAAGAAGAAGAAGAAAGGGGGTGAAAGAAGAAGGAAAAGAAGGGAGTGGGAGGGGGAAAGAAGAAGAAAATAAGAAATGGGGTCAAATTGAAAATTTTAAAATATATAAAATTCTAATTCAGCCCATATAACCGGAAGTTAACCTGGAAACGAGTTAATGGACTTTTAGTGAAAGGATTATGTAAGTTCAGGTACTTTTTGAAAGGATTTAAAGTTCAGGTACCATTTCGAAATTCCAATGAAAGTTCAGGTACCATTACTGAAATTTACCTCAAATAATACTAGTCCCTTGACTTTTGGCAAATTTGAGGATAGTATATTCTTAAAGTTAATTTTTCAAATTTGTCTTTGAATGTAATATATAAGCTTTTGTTACACTTAAGAATTTATCTATGTTTAAAACTTTTGAATCATTTTTAAATTATTTACTTTTTGAATTGATTTTTTTATGTTTATAGTTGATAAAAAAGATTGAATAAGGACCTCATAAACCATTCCGAAAGGTCCCGATCCTGAAATAAGTAAGACGAAATTGACAACGTCGTGTTCAGGACCATGCTGACCCGTACTCACCCTAGATAGAAGTGACTTTTCAATGAAAGTAAGAGTGTTCTATGAGAAAAGTGAAAAAAGAAAATTTGGATTATTTGATGAAACGAGAGAGTATTTCCATTTAACTTTTTAAGGTCAAATTAAAAAACTATGACCATAAAATTCAAAATAAGTACAATATATTAAATTATATTGTAAATATAATATCATTTTATTTGTCTCGATATAAAATTTTGAAATATCATATATTTATTTAAAAAATATTAGTATATTGATGTTAATGGTCAAAATGTCAAATGAAAATGTTACCTTATAATGGAAGGAGTACTTACTAGCGATGAGCGTACCAAAAAATTTGAAATTCTTGGAAAAATTGCAAAAATCAATTGAAAATATTGAATTGAAAAGATATTGAAAAAAATTGAATCATATCGAATCAGGCCGTCATTTCTGTATTCAGGAGTGGTACAAGGTAACTTTAATTTTTTTCAACAAGTAATAACTTTATGTTGAAAATTTTGTTCAAGTTTTATTATGTGTGAATTGTATTTCATTTGAGTTCAATTTTCTTTACTTAAATTTAAGAATATTAAGAAGCATTTGAAATATCATTTTGTTATCATCCTCTTTCTTTAGTTTATGAAATATGGTTAGATAATTAATATAATAAGAATAATATAATTAAATGTTAATTAGGATTATTATTGTTACGCGGCCTTACGCCCTTGCAGAATTGGGGACACTTCACTCAGTCCATCTCGTTTCTGGGTCGTCACGGCCCATAACTCTTCTTACTTGGCAGAACTTGGGCTTAATGATCCAACCCCTCTTACTTGGACTTCCCTTAGAGATATACTGGGCTTTGGCATTATGGACCGAAATATAATTAATTCACTAAATATTCTCTTCAGGCCCAATTGGTACATGAGGCAGATCCGGTACCCATTTCAATAAACGGTCCGACTAAGTTTCATAAACATTTCTTTCATTTAATTATTCATTTTTTAGTTTTTTATGCTTATTCATTTAAATGCACTTTTGATTTTTTTAAAATAAAGAGTTTGCTACATTTTAAAGAAAAAATATATTTTTATATATGCATTCCGATTTGTTTTGAAATCGTTATCTAGTACCAAACCCATATCGAACCAATAGTCCGAGATTGAGATTGGTACGACACAAAACTCACCACTAAACCAAAATATTTAGTACGATAATTTGAAATAAATATCGTACAATATCATATATGTCCCCCCTACTTTTACCATTTGCTTCATTGTGTGTTCGGGATTGCGGTTATCTCTAAATGTTTAAATTACACAGACATAAATAAAACATATTCATTTTTTTGTTATATTTATCTTGCAGAGTTTTATTAGATTATGTGTATACCCTATTTGTATTTAAGGTGACAATCTCCAACGTACGAAGTAACATCTTGATTATTAATATCGATATTTATATATAAATATATGTTATAAAAAATTATTATTTCAAAGCTACTTTCAGAATGAATTTAATAATATTACAATATCATTACACAATGTATATTTTCCATATATCGAGGTCAAAATTTACAAATCAAGAAAATTTAAATGAGAAGAAAATTTCTTAGCGAGAGGAGTATATTTAAATTGGGCCGACAAAAATGGGTTCGGGCCAGAAGGGTTGTTACGGCCCACCCGCAGGCTGGCCGTATTCTTTTTACACTCTCTAGTACTCTGTGTTATGGGTGAGCATGGTACGGTATTTAGCTCGTACCGATACCGTACCAAATATTTTGGTTCGGTATGGGATTTTACTCCGTACCGATATCGGTCCCGAAATATCAGTTCGTATGGTTCGGGATGGTTCGGTATCAGTTTCGGTACAAATCGGGATGAATATACATACCTAGGGGTGTAAACGAACCGAATCGAAGCGAATACCGATATATTTGAATTTGTATTTGTTTAATTTTTTCGAATACGAATCCGAATCCGAATATGAGACGAATTCAAAATAAGATTTTGAATATGTATTTGATTAATATTCGAATATTTATCAAATCATAAACGAATATTTGAATAATCATACTATGTAATTTATATGATGGACCAACATCGATTTATAATTTAAGTTACGATATTATTTATACTATACTATATTCCGTATATAAAAACATTAATAAATTTGCATCTTACACAAATTATATTTTATAAAATATAACTATTAAAAATCATATGTTTTAGATTTTTGTGTTACATTAATTTATTGAATTCTTAGTTCCTTAAATACACTTTATACTATATTATTTGCTTGACTTTTGATGTTGAAAATATGGTCTGTGTATATATACATATATTCGAATATTCGAATATCATCCGAATCGAATATATCCATATTTGTATTTGTATTTGATTAATATTCGAATCAAAAATAGTATTTGAATTTGAATTTGTATTTGAATAACGCGAATTCGAATCATTATATTCGAATACGAATCGCGAATCAAATTTAAAATATTTGATTTGTTTACATCCCTATACATACCTACTTTACACCTTAAAATTTATAAATGCCCCTTTATTTTTGAAAATTAAAAGTGAATTTAAATAAAAAAACATGAAAAATTAAAAAAAATGAACATTTAAATGCAAGAGGTGCGTATCAAAACTTAGTTTATATTTCACAAACTAAAAAAATGAACGACAACAAAGGAGTATTTCAGATCTTTGTGAATACTTTTATGTTCATACACAAAAACTAAAACTCAAATAAAATTATAATTTACACATAATAGAACTTCAACCAAATTTTTTTAAAAATTGTTATTTAGTGAAGGAATATAAAAATATTGCTCTGGAGTATTATTTTTATAGTATTTTAGTATATATGTTCGGTTCAGGATTTTCGGTATGGGACGTCACCTCGTACCGTTCCCAAATACCGTACCGACCATTCGGTTCGGTTCTTTTTCGGTACTTTTTCGGTTCGGTATTTTTCGGTTTGGTATTCTCGGTTTTTTGGGAAATTTCTGTATCGGTTTGGTACTAGCTCACCCCTACTCTGTGTATCTTATGACTTATGCCAAAAGATATACTCCGTACTTTCCAAATCGAGCATCCCACCCCAAAAGGTATGCTTTTAATTTGGGACAACTAATCTACTTTTTCAATCATTTTACTATGAGTATCTTTTAGGATGTATTTGGTGAGCGAACAAGATATATGTTTTGATATCTTCAAATATCTGAAATCTTTTTGGGTGTTTGGTGAAGCCAAAAAATTTGATATCGCCAAGTATCATAAATCCTTCAGATGGAGAGTTTTGATATCTCCCGAATTTGGACGATATCAATATGAGAGTTTGATATCTATCTCCATCATTGATCATTCTCCATCACCGGTTACCATTGTCACCAGTAGCAACCCCATTGTCGGTCACCCCCGCTTATCGCTAATTAAATCATAATTTTAAATCACTTCAAATACATTTATTTCAGATTTCAAATTAAAACTCATATCATTTCTTTTAGATTTTATCACACACTAGTGCATCACCCGTGCGATGCACGGAAAGATAAAGTTTATCGCAATTCCAAAAATATATGAGAGTAGTTGATAATGAATATTATTTAGTAAATAGTATATATGTTCACCTGCTTATATATCATATTATTTATTTAATTCAAAATAGAACTACTAACAAAATGAATGTGTATTAAAGTGGTCTAGGAACATGGTCCTAATGTACCCTCTACAGTCCTAATGTCTTCATAAGAACATGGTCCTTTTACAACATTCAACAAACACCTCAAGTAGTATACCTCATCAGATCCAGGAGGGACATAATACATTCTTCCTATACACCACTCAACATTAATGTGAGCACCATATTTCATCAATAAGTAGCGATTGTGTGGCACGTGTGTGACACGGGGAGAATTTTGTTATTATATTTGTCATTTATTGAATGTAATAAGTAGTGTAATTCATATCTCCAAAACTCACCAAATGGACCCTCAATCACTTTTCGCCTCTCTCTTACTTTTTATAACACTTTAACACACTCTCTTACTTTTTCATTTTTTCCCAATATTTTCAATCACTTCTAAAAAAAATTAGAGTTAATTTCTAAAATGATCATTTCTAATAAGATATTTTTTTAAAATTAGTCCTCAATAAATAATAATTACCAACATAGTTCTTTGTAATTGAGATGTATTCCTTGAGTAGTCTTATGTCAAAAATTTATATTAAATGACAGTTAAATGGAGGGTATTTTTATATTTTTCATCATCTAAACTATTAATAAGTCTTCAAAACAGACCTATCCCAAGTAGGCTCATAGACTCTATTTCGAAAAAATATTTACCTAGAAATCAACAATTTGGACAAGTACTTAATTATAAATGAGCATTTCAGGAACATACTTCAATTCTAAATGATTGAAAATACCAAAATACCCTCTATTTGTTTGTCATTTAATATTAATTTTTGACAAAGGAGTATTTAAGAAATACATTTTAATTACAAAGGACTATGTTAGTAATTATTATTTACTGAAGACTAATTTGAAAAAATAACTTATTAGAAAGAACCACTTCGAAAATTTACTCAAAGTTTTAATCTCCTCAAGATCAACATGTGCCTTTTGGCACACGTCAACATTATTATAAGACTCAGTACCTCAAACGTACACCACCCATTTTTCTACTATTCATTTTTATTTTTATTTTTTTTATTTTATTTGCTAATATATGTGGCATTGGAGGGAGTGGTGTACATTTAGGATACACCTTGAGTGTACCACTTGCATTTTTCTTATTATATGGAGTAATACTTTTGTATATAGATTTTAGATTTCAGACTCACTTATTAGATTCTAGACTATAGGCTCAAAATTGAAAAAATAAAAAGCTCTTGCCATCACTCTTTTTTCATTATTGTACTAGACTTTGTTTGAAAATATTATTTTCAATTTTCATTAACATTTTAAATAAATTTTAATAGTGTATTATTAACCATAAACTCATCCGTCCCATAAACTCAGCTGTTTCTTGTTGATTTTTTAGTCAAACAGTAATATCATTTAACCATAAATTAGTATAATTTAAATAAGAAAATATTAAATAAATTTGATATATCAAAACTATTTTCTAACATGAATTCAATTCTACTAATTTTGTACCATAATTAAATATACTTTTTCCATTATTTATGATTAAAAGGTGTCACTATTTAAGGGTAATTTACCTAAATAGGACTAAAACATAATGACTTTCTCAATATAGGACCATATGTTTTTATTTCCCAATATAGGAACATTGGTCATTATCTATTAATCATTATTCAACTAAATGTCTAGCATCACTTGGGCATTATTCTTCTCACTAGACATTATTAAGTTCTATTTAGGGAATTAAAAAGTTTAAGTCTTATATTAGAAAATGACTTATGTTTTAGTCATATTTAGTGCAAATTTCACATAATTAAAAAGTGAAATGAAGAAGTTTATATGACGGAGTGAGTATTATATTTTTTAATATACTCGGTAATGATCAATCAAATCCTTTTTTTAAAGGTATGATCAATCTAATCTAGTTATTATTATACTCCGTGATACTACATGTGGGAGACAAATAAGCAGATTAGATATGTTCTTTTATAATATTAGTGAATTATCCTTCTATCATTAGGAATATTTTAAGCGCACTCATAAACTTTGTCTAAAAAAGAATGTTACATTATATAAAATGAAGAATTTTTTTTAATTTTTTTCAATTTTTTATTTATGTATTGATTTAGAAATAAAAAAATAAAACTTACATATTTAAAAACTATGTAAAAAATTCTACAAAACAAATGTCACAATAAAAAAAGCACAATTAAATTATTTTTTATTATAATTTTTGAATAGTGAATGGTGAAATTCTTTTCGGGATGGAGGGAGTATATAATACTCTAGATTTGAATTTTCAAATTGCCACGTTTAGAGTAATCAAATTTGGAAGGACTAAAATTATAAAGTTAAAATAACATAAACTCTCAATGATGACTCTCCAATCAATTCTTTTGAATTGGAAATAAAGAATTAGATGCTAGGGCCAATTTAGATAAAATAAAATAGGAACTTTACGTGCAAAGCTCGAAAAAGAATACGCTTGTACGTGAAGACGTGTTAGAATATAAAAATCTTTTCTGAACCACAATCACAAACTTGATCTTTTGGTTGAGATAGTTCTTTGACACAAATATTTCTTGAGATTTATCTATTAATATCGAGTTATTATAAAAAGTCCTAATTCATTTAATTACGGGATGTACAAATCAAGATTAAAGAAGTTGTATTCAGATAAAATAACTTTTAGTTAGATATTTTTACTAGGATTGAATTGAATTGGTCTATATACACATAGCAGAGACCTGAGATTAATTGGAGCAATCGAAAGGATAAAAGTACAGAATACACGTTGATTAATAGCATTCTCGTCACGCTCCAAAGCACTGATTACCTGAAAAAGATTATGATTCACATAGAGAAGAAAACTTTTAACGTAAAAGAGATCGTGTGTTATTAATGTTAATTCAATGAATAATCGAAGTATAATTAAAAAATATTACTACGTGTATATATTATAAAACTATATTACAAATTTAGCAAAACAAGAGATGAATTGACTATTTTATTTTATTAATTGATTGATTCTATGAAAATGTGCAAAAATATTTGTATTCCTTGGAATGTTTGTGTAAAAAATATTAATTTTTTCATGGGTACGGTATATTTTTGTGATTAATTTGTATTCCTTAGCTTGCAATATTTGTGTAAAAAAACTAAAAATAATTAAATTTTGATAGCATCGGGGATATTTATGCAACCATAAATTGTTCTTGAAAATTCAAAACTCTGACAATAACATCATGTTTTCAAAAATAATTAATTATATTTCTCCATATTCCCTAATTCCTCCAATTGCCTCATACTCAAAAGTCAAACCCTAATTTTGCACAAATATAATCATGAGCTATATAGTTCATTTACAATACTTAAAAGGAATTCAATAGTTTTGGTAGAGATAAACACACTTTATCACAACCAATATTTATTTTTACTCGAACTTTGTATGTTAACATTATTTTTTGAAATCGAATGACAATGAAGTTCAAACGCACGATCTTTTCGTCAACAAGATTCTGATACCAAGCCAAAGAATGAACTAAATAAATAATTCAAGACAACGATAATGAATAACATGCAAAAAAAAATTGTTTGTTCGAATATTGCACGTGAATATTAACTTTTTAAGTGTGGGTGACCGTGCAAATCAAATTCGTGACTTCTGAACCACCGGATTTGGTACCATGCTAAGAAATAAATTCAAATAGAAATTTAAATTTGTGATTGTAAGTTCTATACAAAGTTTAATGTATACTCTTAGCATTTTTGGTAGAGGTATTTCAACGGTTTGTTGTCAACATCACAAATGGAAGTTGAGCAACATCTTTTGGCCTTATAGAGACTTGAGATGGAAGATAAGTCAATGATGGACAATAGTCTTGTACTCGGTCTATTATGTTGGTTATTTTGTGGATAAACTTATAGTCCCACTCATCTTTTGACATTAGATTTTATTAAAAAAATGCTACAACTCCATCATGGTGCCCTGTGGATGACAATCATAGATAATTTTTAAATACAAAAATGATAATCGTTTGTGAATATAAATGATTATCGTCTTTTTATGTATAAATCAATTGTGATGGTTATTCGTAGTAGCTTCCAAGCACAATCCAAAATTTATACCATGTGTTTCATAAACAAGTATAAATCACAATTTACCATGCGATCTTGATAATTATTATCTGTGTTATTTGTGAAATACATAATATCAAACTTCAATGTTAAAGTTAGAGGGTGTTTGAGAGTGATTAACTTGTGGATAAACTGATTTCCACAAAAGTTGAAAGTAAAAGCACCTTATAACTGCTTCTCCGAAACAGTGTTCTATGTACAAAATAGTGGTGGAAAAACAGAAGCTGACGTGTCAAACAGAGTAAAACTACTTCCACTCAAAGCAGAAACTAAATTCTTAAAAGAGCGCACTCCTAAACACCTTCTTAGTGTGACTATAAATCATGGCCCTATTTTGTATGAACACTTTGTATGGTGTTTTTAAATATCAATTCGAGAATTTTGATATATTTCTTAACCGCCGACAACCCATCACCATCGCCCACCTTTTATCGACTATCACTCCTTACCGCCAGCCATCACTCCCTAGCGCCAATCGTCACATGCCACCACCTACCATCGCCGACCCTCATCGTCTCAGCCTGTCTGGCCACCCGTCATCGGCCACACCTTGCCGCCGACATCCCACTATTATCAGCTACCTATTGTCGCCCGTTCTTTGCCTCGGCCACTAGTCTTCTTTCCTTAACAATCATCATTCAGATCTTTTCAAATATTTTCATAACTCATATCATTTTTCTTCAAATTTCTAATTTTTTATCATATCAAACCTCAAAAACATCCCTCAATGATGACAAGAATAAATAAATATGTACATTTGTATAGAGAACATAGATGTACATAAGAATTTAAGTAATTATTGAAAAGAAATACATTTTTTGTTTTATTAATTTCCTTATGTGAAATAATTTCTGTGGATCTTAATATGGTCTATGTGAAATGTGCTGTTGAAAATCATGAGCTTTGTGGAAAAGGAATTCAATAGTTTTGGTAGAGGTATTTCAAGAATTTGTTGACCAACATCACAAATCACAACATATCTCAGGTAAAAAAAATACACAATATGATATTTGATATGGACATGAAATTTACCAAATCATCTTTTTCTTAAATGTTACAATGACACTTTTTTTTCAAGTGGGAACTTTACTGTACACAAGTTTCTTCTGAAGCAAATACCTTGCAAGTATAAGTCTTTTATCATCATCCTTAATAGTCATATAAAAAGACCATTTAGAATGCTGTGTTAAACAGAAGAAGCTATTCTGGATTTCTGTACACCTTCTTCGCTGCAGAGAATGCGCCTATTCCTCGACGCATAGTAGCGGTAGATAATACTCTGAAGGCAATGCCTTATGCACGACACATCGTATGCCTCGAGGAAACATATGTCGTTTTCTCTCCACTTTGTGCCTGCAAAATGCTTGTACTCTTCCAACACCGATGCCAAACGCCAGTTCTGAAGTTTCCTCAGGCACCCAACTAGACAACCCGTTCGGTGCTACGACGACAAAAAAAATTGTGTAAAGATTTGACGTACATCGAAAAATGAATGAATGTAGACAAGACGTATGTCTACATTCATCCATTTGTCAATGTATCAAGAAAGTCGTAATGGACAGTTAATATGGAGTGGATGGAGCACTATTTATTTTAATATTCGCGTTCACGCGGCTCAACCTCCGCGTGAAGGATGATTCAACAAGAAATGATGGGTAGGAGTAATACCTTTCCGCGTTTGCAATGGATAAGGACGGGATGGTTTCTCACATCTACAGAAAAATTTACAAAACATAAATAGAAAAATTCATTCACGAATCACAACATGAGAAATAATTATAGGGAAGAAATGAGATTGGATTACCAATTAAGACTTTCAAAGCCTCTGTTATGGTACTCTTAGGAATATTAGACGGCTCCTGCACGGGGGGAAATGTTCTACGAATATTACAAAACCAGAACATATTAACATGCCACCAAAGTTTCGTTCTTTATCTATCAAACAGATCATCAAAAGTAAAAAAAGCCGAGGCTAGTGAAGGGAAAGCTTAAGTTTTTGTGCTTTCTGAAAAATTATATCCTAAAGCAGCAGAATGTTTGATCCCTGCTAAAGACAGTAGGAAACATAGAGAACCCAAGAGAAGAAAAAACAACATAAATGTGTTGTCAACAAAGATACATTTGATTACCAACATGAATCACTCTATGTTTCAATTTGAGCTTGTTATTAAAGAGTAAAGGAATATTGAAAGATTATCTAACAACAACAACAAACCCAGTAAAATCCATACTTATTTCATAGTAAAAATTAACTTTATTTGTATTATTTTTTTTAAAAGAATGGCTTAATGATATTGAGATCAACCACTCCCATGCCCCAATTTTCCAAACCATGAACCCAAGATTTATTGTAACATACAGTATTTCTCTTGGCTATTTTTAGTAACATAACGAAAAATGGGATTAAATTTTTTTTAAAAGAAAAAAAAAAGTCAATACCTTTGTGCCATCTATGCCAAATTGGAAAAGCTTGATGTTGTTAACACGAAGAAACTCCTTATTCTCTTCTGGGTAAGGCTCCTGACACAAATATCTGCAAGAAAATATGAATAAAAAAAATCAAAACTTGGAGTGAAGGGTAACAAGAGAATTAATATGAATGATCATACAAATAAATAAAAAAGATTGGAGGAAAAAAATCAAGAATTGCAGGAAAAGGGCAAGAAGATAACATTGAATTTGAAGTGATCATAGGAAAAAATTGGGAAGAATTGCAAGAAAAGGGCAAGAAAAAAACAATGAATTTTAAGTGATTATCAGAAAAAAATTGGGGGAAAAAACAATTATTGGAATAAAGTGATCATGCGAAAAAATATTAAATTTTTTGGGGGAAAAGAAATCAAGAATTGAAGAATACAAACATTACGGAGCGGAGATTGAGGGATCGGAGGAAGGGGAAATTGGAGGGCTGAGGGAACCCTGATCGGTAAATGCAGTGGTCTTCGACGGCGGAGAAGTTCGCCGGCGGCGGCGGCAGGACGCCGTCGTTTCCAGTCACCCGTTCCTCATCCTTTTCGCCTCCAAGAATCGAACACATTGTCCCCAAAACCCCAAATTCAAGATCAGAAAAATAAGGGTTGTACTATTTGAGGGGTTTTCATGAGAATCAAACCTAAATTGAGGGGTTATTTGGTTAGGATTCCTTTACCCGTCCGGGTTTTGAATTTATACATGGGAAAGAAAGCATAATTGGACTCAAACCAATAGGGGGAGTAGTCAATAGAGAAAGCTTGTCAATTTAGTACTACCCTCCAAAATGTAATTGATAGTTTTTCTTTTTCTAATTAAAAATTTTGTTACCTTTACCATTTAATTATTCATATAGTATTATACCCTCCAAAATTATTACAACTCATCTTTGTACTTTAATATGTTGAAAAAGTTTATATTACAAGATATTACAATTATAATAAACAGGGGTAGCCCTTATAATTCTATAGTCTAGACTGAGATAGGAAAAGACCCTAAAGATCTTATCTGTAATGCCCAAAACGAATTAAAGTGTGCAACTAAGAGCCTGTTCTTTAAGACTTGAACTCTTAACTTTTAGTTTCTTTCAGTTCCTTCCATTTTCTTGTAGTTTTTCATGTTTATTCCAATTTCTTCCAGTTATATATATATATATATATATATATATATATATATATATATATATATATATATATATATATATATATATATATATATATATCTATATATATATATATATATATATATATATACACCTCCTCAAACCAATATCCTGAAAACTAGACCAGACGTTGATCCGGATGAGCTGGCGGGTCAAGTGTTAATTGGTTGACTCAAGGGTCAATGACCCGGTCAATTATAATCAAAATAATAGTATTTTATATTATATTATTAGATATTTTAATTAATAAAGAATTTTAATTAGTGTTTTTTCACTCTTCCATCTACTGTTTTTATATCATTTTGCATATATCGTCACACCTTTTATTTTATATTTGTACGACTACTTTTTATTACAATTAAAGATAAATAATGAATATCTAATAAATATTAAAATAGTAAAGCAGTATTCATATTTTAAAAAATGTACTCGCTAGGGGATGTGTTCTTATATAATATTCTGTGGTCCATATGTAACACTTCAGAATTTATTTAGTAGATTGTAATGAGAAAAGGTAGAAGAAAAATTTAATTTTAATATATTAAAGTATAATTAATAAATATTTCTTTAATTGTTTAGTCATTTATTTTGAAAAAAGAATTTTTAGGTATAAGCAATCATATTAAAATTTAGATAAAACATAAAAAAAATTATTTCTTTCTTTTTAAATTATTTTTATAAGTTCATAAAATAAGTATACTAGATACTACTTAAATTAAATTTTCTAAATAATTGGAAGTTTTACTGAAATCAACACAATCCATATATATCCTATTACGTGACCATGTAACAAATATTTAGCAACTCAAGTGGATGGAGTATCTCTTAACATGCTAAACACTCAGGTCTGAAACCAACTTTGCACCATAAAACATTTAGATTTATAATTTATTATTATTATTATTATTATTATATATATATATATACATATAATATATATACATATATACATATATATATATATATATATAAAATATATATATATATATATATATAATATTAAAAAAATATATTAGGCCCTCTAAAATATTAGGCCCAGTCCGGTAAGGCTGCTCGACCCACCCCGAGCCAGCCCTGATAATAGAGTTGTTAGTGCTAGAAAAATCATATACTATTATAATACTCCATGATTTTATTATTACTATTAGTATTATTATGGATTTATGGTTATTATTATTATTACTACCTCCGTTCCAGTGTATTTGTCCTGTTTGACTTTTTTGAGTCAAACTGGACAAATTTTGAACTTTAATTACTCTTAATTTATATTGCATATTAGCATAATGAAATACAATTTTGAAAGTTCTCAATACGATAAATTCAATAAAGTTATTTTTATGTTAAAATACATTACAGTTTTTATTTAATTAAAGTTCAAAGTTTGTCCAGTTTGACTCGAAAAAGTCAAATCGGACAAATACACTTGGACGGAGGGAGTATTATTTAGGCTAAAAACTCAAGCTTGATTAATCAACTCCAAAAGGAATGTAGGTGGGTTCGTAGCCAAACAATGGGCTAGAGAATTTGAAAAACCAGACAGAAAATGAAAAGAAACAGTGTCAAAAGAACCGAGCAGATTTTGACAATCATTAAACCGAGCAGATTTTGACAATCATTGTTAATGATGCGAACATAAGACCGAGGAATCGACGAAGAAGGTGCTAAGTTCTTGCAAAGGGTAGAGCAATCAGAAAAAACCTGAACCGAAGACACACCCTAATCCTTTTAGCATTAAAGGAACTAATTTGATTGATATTGAGAGCATCTTCTTTAAGTCTTGAACTCTTAACTTCTAGTTTTTTTTAGTTTCTTTCAACTATTCTCATTTTCTTCAAAATCTTTCTACCCCCAACTAATTACTTTAAAAACGATATATTTTTAGTGTGATTATTATTATTATTATTATTATTATTATTATTATTATTATTATTATTATTATTATTATTATTACAACTGCTATGTTCATAACTATAGTTTATAAATTAATTTTTCATCTCACTATTTTTACGATTCACACTCATTATTTTTTTTCTTCAACTTTTTAATATGAATAAGACACTTTTTTTATATTAATCCACACGACAAAACAAGAAAACATCAATATGTTTAACTATATTAAAAAATTATGGATAAAATAGTGACATAGAATGTTTTATTAATCTAACTTTATATAAGACCTCTCACCTTTCCATTTATTACTTAAAATATGCTCATTTTTCTAATCTTTATAAAAAAATTGTGAGTCAAAATAATTTAGATAAAAAGACTAAAATAGGAGTAAAACATAAAAATGTAAAAAAAAGTTCTATGTCTTTATTCCAAAAATAGGACATCAATGAAAATAAAATTTCAATCATGAAAGAAAAAAATAGGTTTGAATACATTATGTGACATGTCTGATATTTAAAGTAAAATCTTGTAATATATAAAGTATAATGGCAAATATATTATTTATAATGAATACTGCATAAATAAATTGAGGTGCAACATAACCACAAAAACTTTTTAAAATTTTATATTTTTATATTTATGCTAACTTTATATTATAATTATTTTTTGCAAAAATAGTTTTTTGTATTTGAAAAATAACAATACTTTTTTTGTACCGTAAAGGTATTCATTAAGATAACGTGATGATGATGATGATGGTGATGATGATGATAATAATAATAATAATTTATAACAACAAGAATTTAAAATAAATTTTTTAAAATTTTTTTAGGTTTTCCAATTTTTTGAAATTTTTCCAGTTTCTTCTAATCCCTTTTAGTTTTTTCCAGTTTCTTCCAGTTTTTTTCAGTTTATTCCAGTTCCTTCTAGTCTCTTCTAGTTCTTCCAGTTTCTTCTAGTTTCTTCCAGTTCGTTCCAGTTTTTTCCCGTTCCTTCCAGTTTCTTCCAGTTTTTCTAGTTTTTTTCTAGTTTCTTCCAACATCTAATCCTTTTTTTCTAGTCCTAAAGAACATGCTTTTAGTAGCATCATCATAATCAATTTACACTAATAATAATAATAATAATAATAATAATAATAATAATAATAATAATAATAATAATAATAATAATAATAATAATAATAACAATAATAATAATCATAATTTATAACAAGAATTTAAAATAAATTTTTAAAAGTTCTTTTAGGTTTTCCAATTTTTTGAAGTTTTTCTAGTTTTTTCTAGTTCCTTCTAGTTTTTTCCAGTTTCCTCTAGTTTCTTCAAGTTTTTTTTAGTTTATTCTAGTTACTTCCAGTCTTCCAGTTTTTTCCAGTTTCTTCTAGTTCGTTCCAGTTTCTTCTTGTTTTTTTTTTCAGTTTTTCCAACATCTAATCCTTTTTTTCCCGTGCTAAAGAACATGCTCTTAGTAGCATCGTCAGAATCAATTTACATAATTAAAATTTTCCAGTTTCTTCCAGTTCCTTCTAGGTTTTTCCAGTTTCTTCCAGTTTTTCTAGCTTCTTCCAATTTCTTCCCATTCCTTCCAGTTCCTTCCCGTTTATTCTAGTTCCTTCCAGTTTTTTCCAGTTTCTCCCAACATCCAGTTCTTTTTTTCCAGTCCTAAAAAACATGCTCTGGAGGCAAGTACTTTATTTTAAAATTGAGATGGAATTAAAAAATAAAAAATTTATATTTTTGTGAATAGTTAATATGTACTATAATTTGGGATGAAGGGAGTATTTTTGTGAGACTCTAATTTAAATAGTCTGGTTATTACATATCAGATTACAGAATTTAGTTACCAGATTTAAAAAAATAAATTTTAAATTAAAATATATTGGTGAGAACCATTTTCTTTTTCAATTCCTCCGACTACATGTTCTTAGTTACACATAGTGAAACTAAGCTATTATGTAGGTTCTCTTACACAATAGTAATAACTATCTCGATGGGTTATGCACTTAATTGTTTACTTTTATTCATTATTTAGTTTTATATATTCATTCAAAATATGATATAGGTCTGGTTTGGGAACAACGTTTTCGATTACCATTAACATTTTGGATAAAATTTTAATGGTGTAGATTAATTCTGAAAATGCTAAGTCTAAAGGCTACCGTTAGATAACCTTTTTAAAATGCTGACGCCCATACTCATTAGGCTACTTAAAATTCAAAATATGTAAAACCTAATCTAAATCCAGCAACATTCCAGTCTCTCTCTCTCTCTCTCATTCTTCCACTGCACTCTTCCACCGTCTGTCGATATTAGGTGGCGACTCAATCAAAATGGTGATAAGACACTCTTAGCTTCCACTTTAGCTGTTATCAGAGCTGGCCTTTGCGTCTTATCAGTTGGATGTCTCAAATGTTTTTTTCTTGGTGTGGTTCCTGACGAAATTTATATGAAGCAGCCTCTTGGGTATGTTGATCCGAACTATCCTCATCATGTGTGCAAATTGAAAACGTCTCTTTATGACCTTAAACAGGCACCCAAATCATGGTATCAACAACTTTCCGAATTTCTCACTAACTATGGTTTCGAAAAGAATGAACATGACACCAGTTTTTTGTCAAGCACTCTTCTCTTGATGTTCTTATTGTTCTGCTCTACGTTAACAATATTATTGTTACTAGAAGTGCTTCCTCTCTTATTTCTTCCTTTATCCGCGCCATGCAATTCAACAAGAGTTTTTGATGAAGAATCTTGGTCCACTACATTATTTCTTAGGACTAGAGGTCAAACATACAAAGGATTGTCTAATTTTATCTCAGGAAAAATATGTCTGAGAATTACTCCACAAAGCTGGTATGGAGGATTGCAAATAACCCCCACACCAATGCCAGTTTCGCGGACCGAGGAGGGGGCAGATAGCTCGTTCGAGAACCCCACATTCTTTCGGGGTTTAGTTGGTTCGCTCAATATTTAACAAACACCCGTCCAGATATTCAATTTGTTGTAAGTCATGTTTGCCAACGGTTGCAAGCACTGAGCATGATTTTCAGTCCTTAAAGCGTATTCTACACTATGTTAAAGACACAATTGATCGAGGGTTGCTATTTTGACGAAGACCACAAGTCTTGCAAGCATATTTTGACTTCTAGAGGCTATCCTAACAAAACAACTTCCGCTGGCCCAATTCCAGTATCTGCGCTCCAAGCTTCTCCTCGTTACCAATGATCAGTTTGCGAGGCGACATTAGGAATAATTGATGTATTAGAAAATAGAAAATTACTCAGTATTATTTATTATCTTTCTTATTACATTACTTTCTTATTGTATTGTTACTATAACTCAGATTGGAATTCTCTATTGTAAACATTCCTCATTATTCAATAAAACTAATTATTATCAAATTGTATCACATTTCATGCACGAGTCCAATAAAACCAAACACACATAGGTTTGATAAATCTAAAAGTAGCCAACATGCTCTTCACGCGCTAAAAGTGTCACTCTCTCAGCCTTCCTATTTTTGTTGTGTTTCGTTCGCATGATTTGATTTAATCTAATTTTTTGAAGATCTGATCTGGTTTCATATGATCTGACCGTAGTTGTAATTAAAGCTATTTCTGATTTGATTTGGTCTGATCTGATTATAATAAGAATAAGTAATAAGTAGAAAAAAAAAGTTAAACGGAACGCTGCCTTTGTTGGGGAAAGTAAAATTTTTTTGTCTCTTAATACCAAGAGTAGCACATAAATCACGAAGATATTTATTACAAAAATTAAAGATCATTGTATGTCGTAAGAGTGTTTTTATTTTCTTCATATCCCAAGTAGCAAACTAAAGTCGAGACGTTGTCATCAACAAGTCTGAGCCGGAAACAACTTGACTAAGAGATACATGGGCAAGAAACTCATGATCTTTCTCCAAGTGACACATGACTTGTGGCTGCAACCCAATCCATGCTTCAATGCCCCCATCAACATCATCCAACAAAAGAGCCAAGTCGTCAAGATTATTACCTGGCCCAAGCCAAATTGGCTTTCCCCATCCCAAATCAACCTTGAGACACTCAAATTTAAACCAAGTGCTTATGCTGAAAAATTGGTTGTCATCTCCACCTCTTTCATCTACTAATGTCTTGAGATACCCACCCCCTTCAAACATTTCCCTCACATAGTCGTCTGTCACCTGCTACAAGATTGCACCTCATCAAGAGAATAAAATGATTTTGAATAATTAAAAAGTGAAATTTATATATACACATATGATAAGTTTGTATATTTCTCTTATATTAATGACCCTAACATTTTTCCTTCCGTTCTGTATATTTCTTACTATTCTTACTTTTCTTGTCAATATTTTTAAATTTTGACCTTAGAGTGATATAATTTGAATATGGATAAATTAATTTTAAAAAGTAGTTTTAAAATATCACATTTTAGGAATGAATATATAAACTCTCTGTGTCCCGTTTCTTTCTTCTTCTTTTAACTTTTTTTGTTAACATTTTTAAACAATGGTCACATTTTCACAAACTATGAAAAAGAAATTTTGAATTTAGATATGAATTTTTATATTTAAAAGTTTATATTGAATTATTGTATTTTTTGAAATATTATATTTTTGAAATAATTTTTTAAAGTATTGTATTTTTATTATACAGGATAGAAGTATTAAAATTCAAAATGTTGAAATAGAGACTATGAACGATCAAATATATACAAAAAAATATTTAGAAAAAATAGGATTAAAACATAAAGAAATTATCAAAATAGTAACTTCATTTTTTATCCATAAAATAAAAGTTTGTAATGTATATGAATATTTCATACTCCGTAATATTTTTTCATATTATATTTTGACATTATTGGCATTGTATGTGCATTTTAACTCTCATTTTGAAAATAAAAATATAGATATCCTATTTTAGTATTTGTTTTATATTTTACTCTTATTTTAATTTTTTCCTATTAATGGTCAAAGTGTGTGTAACACTAGGAACGGTGAAAATCAAAGGCAAATAACATTTCAGGAAGGTTGGGAGTATTAGATAGACAGATAGGGAATGTACTATTTTATCACCTTCCCAATGGCTTCGCGGATTTTTCCTACAAGTGATTTATCGCCGCCACTAATGGCGGCGGCCGCCGCCGCATTGTTCTCCCACCGTGCGGCGGATGATAAAAAGATGTTTCCCAAGCACGTGGGGTGGAAAGGCGGATTCATCCTCCTTCGCAAATCCACAGTGTTTAGCAAGAAGTGCGCCTTGAAATTACAATTGGCTTTTAAGGTTGCCCTTATCACGGCGGCCCATATGAACGCCGACAACGCCTCCACCCGCGTCGGGCGGCGGCGGCCGTCGGAGTACTTGTCTTTGAGCTTCTCGATCTCGTGCTTGGGGAAGATGAATCTTTTCCCGATGCATCTTACCCGAGCTTTGTTTCTTTGTGCGACGGTGGAGAATAGTAACTTGGTGACGTCGATTTTCGCCGGCGGGAAAACGGCGGCGGCGTCCGCGACCACAGAATGTGGTGGGACGGCGGTCGGGGATCTTTGGTCTCGGTTGATCTCCGCCCAGGTTTGGAGGAATCCGGAGAGCGCGGCGCCGTCGGCTAGGCCGTGCCAGAGACATATCGCCACCGCTGTTCCGCCGCACTTGAATCTGTTTACCTGAAATCAAACATGTGATTCATTTAAAATTGGAATTTATTCTGGAATGGACAGACCCGTTCCAGATTAGATTTATTCACTTTAGATAATTTCATATCAGATATTCGGATATACTCCGTATTTCATATCAGATATGTTTTAGATACAAATTATTTTCTAATTAAAATTTAATTATTCATGTTTCTTTTTTGTCATATCACATTTATATCATCAATTCAATACTTAATATTATTTTTCATTTTTTCTAATTATACGATCTTCAACCAATATAATCTTCTCCTTTTGAGTTTTAGTCATATTTTAGAAATTTAGACTATAAATTATGAAAAAGGTATATTTAGTTATGATATAAATTTAATATAATTAAATTGATTTTAAGATTTAATTTTGATACATCAAATTTATCACATCTACTATTATCTATATCTTTACAAATACAAAGATATAATACTCCCTCCGTCCACAGATAAACTTCTCATTTACTATTCACAGAGTCAAATTTTATTCACTTTGTTGGCCTATTTTCGTCACTCATTTGATAAAACAATATAGTCATGTTACCTCTTGTTTTATAGATCTTTTGATATAGTTTTTTAATATGTAATTTTTATTTTTAAATTTTACACTATTTTCATATAAAATGATTTGAAAATAACTTCAGTCAAACATCGTAACACGCAACGAGAAGTTTATTTGTGCACGGAGGGAGTATAACTTTTTGGTATATCTTAGAAATAAAAAAATATTTCACAAAAGGCTTATTATGGATACAAATGAACTTTACAAAGGGCTTAATTATGTTCATACACTACTTTCTCTATGAGTTCTCTTGGCTCATCGAAAAACTTTTGGAAAATAAATCTTTGAAAAAATATCTAGTTCAAATGATAAAATAAAGGTTAAAAAGTTTAAAAATACAATATGTTTATTGAAAGGCATAAACAATTTCAGTTTTTAACGATTTTGGGTCAAATCGGTTTCGAATCTTATCGGTTTTGAGTCTTATCGATTTTGAGTATTACCGATTTCAAGTAATATCAGTTTCGGGTTTAATCGATTCGGATCTGATTGATTTCGAACTTAAATCTGATATGAATTGTTTAGTTCAATTTCGGTTCAGATCATTTCGGGTTTTCAGTTCCAGATTGGATCTTCACTTTTTGGATCATTTTGGTTTCGGCATCGGATAATTCGGTTTAGATAATTGGTTCCGATTCTATTTTCAGAGTCTAAATTTGCACTGTCATCACTTTCCAATCATACTGCATCAATCTTATAACACGATGTCATTATACTCTTATTTATGAGATTAGACTAGGTGACTCATATTTTAATATTTAGTTTATAGTTTTACTCATATATAGGGAGACTTCTTTATATAAAAGTGATGCTAGTTTTAATTTCAAAATTTTAGGTCATAATATGATGTAATAAGCAGATTAATAATGAACATGTAGGAAGTAACATGTACACAAATCAGTAATTACACTATAATAAGGGAAAATATGCGATTTCTAATGATGCTAGATGAGAAGTTCTATCTAGTTCTTTCGTCCAAGAATAATTTTTTCATTATGTATTACGAGATTTGATCAAATTTATTTTTAATTTAATTTAGTTGATTATAAATTGATAATTAAAAAATCCAATTTATTCAGGTATGTTGTGATAATATCAAAAGTCAAATTTATTTGATTATAAGTGTATATTTTATGCTTACAAATCAAATTTGTAAGTGTAAAAAAAGAGTTGAATCCGTTTAAGCTAGTAATCACCTGAACTGCTAACATGGGTTGGGTAGGATCAAAAGCCACCGGATAAGGATTCCGCGGGAACAGCTGCCGGAGAAGAGGCTGCTCCGGGCGCCGGAGAAACTCGGCCAAGCCAAAATTCCTAACGTTGGCGCGGACGAAGTCCGCGCCCTCGTCATTGCACTCCACAACCGATGACCCGTCGCCCCTCGTCCGCCCGGCGAGCGGGTACCAAACCGACAACGCCCTCGCGAGCGATTCTCTGAGCTTGTCGTAGTCGTGGTGGGAACCGCCGCCGGGGTAGAAGAAGACGACGGGCATGTATAGGACGCCGAAGATCTGGTCGAGAAGAGAGTATTGGTAGATTCTCAAGGACTCGTGGGTTGGGGTGGATGGCTTCACATTTTCTTTCTTGTAGATTACCACTTCCATTTCTGTCTTTTTTTCAATAAATTATTATTGAATATTGATGGTACGTAGTCAAGCAAAATTAACTTGAACGTATATATATAGGGCTCGCAAAACGATTGGTCGGGTCGGGATCGGGTTCGATCACCTTCAGTTCAGGTTACTTCAGGTTTGGATAAGTTTGGGCTCGGGTTGAGAGCTACATGTTCATGACCTAATATCATCGGGTTCTGGTCAACCCAACGGGCTATGACTTTCATTTATTTTTTAAAATTTTAAGTAATTCTTATGACAGATTGTCAATATAACGAATAAAAAAATTTAAATATGCAGAAAATTTTGAAAAAAAGTAAGATAATTATGCGATATCATTAAAATTTTAAATGGAAATATAAATTTATACATTGAAAACGAGTATTAAGCAAAGAAATATAATCTAAATCTTATTTTTATAACATTATATTACATATTACAGTATATGATTTTTAAAAATCTTACATTAACAAGTCGGCCAGGTCGGATTCGGGTTTGGTCGGGTTTGACCGATTTTTAACGGGTAATTTGGGGTTCGGTCAACTTCGGGTTCGGTCATCAAAACCGTTGTTCAAAATCCAGTATTTTCAGATCGGGTCTCGGGTCAAAAACAGGTCGGACCATTTTTTACTAGGTGTACATATATATATCATGCAATATTATTATTTATAGAGCATGTGACAATTCTACCCGAATCCGACTCTTACCGACCCGATCGGAGCTTGTAATATCCGAATCCGAACCGAAAAATCAAATATCCGAAACCGACCCAAAAAAATTTAAACTGAACCCGACTTTTATCGGGTCGGGTTTGGGTTAGTATATTTGACCGACCCGACCTGTACCCGTGTAGATAGGATGTAGCCGTGTAGGTTTGTTTGGTGGGGGTGGGATAGGGTCGACCCTACGGGTTGGCCAGACGGTCGTGATACATTTTACAAAGTGGTTGGGGTGAAGTACAGGAATAATAAACTTAGGCCCCGTTTGGTAAACGGAATTCAAATTATGGAATTGGAATTGAGGACTTCAATTTCAATTCTGATGTTTGGTAGCATAAAAATTATGTGGATTTGGAATTGATAGTGCAAAAAATGAATTGGAATTGGCAGAATTCAATTCTATGAATTTGAATCCTATGGAATTTCAATTCCAATGCAATTCCAATTCCATAAAATCTGTATACCAAACGTACCCTAAATAGGACTAAAACTTGTAGGATACCAACATGTGATATTTGCTAATTTCCCAACTTGTAGGACTTAACATAAGTTATTTTCAAATGTAGGACTAAAATTTTTTTATTCCTTAAATAAGACTTAATAATGACTAGTGAGAAGAATAATGTTCAAGTGATGCTGAACATTTAGGGGCTGTTTGTTTCAGCCTCTTAATGGTTCAAATGTGTGAATGGTTCAGCACTTAATGGTTCAGACTGTTTGTTTCGTGAGCAGATGTCTGAATGGTTCAGACATTTGCCTCTGAATGGTTAAGTATTATACAGAGTCTGAATGGTTAAAACCTCTTATCTGAATTGATTAGACATTTGTCTCTGAATAGTTAAGCAATATACTAGCTCTTAATGGTTCAGACCTCTTACTAGTTAAGCACTTAATGGTTCAGACCTCTTACTGGTTCATCACTTACCTATTCAGAAGTTGCCAAACAGCCCCTTAGTTAAATGATGACTAATAGATAATGACCAATGGTCTTACATTGAGAAATAAAAACGTATGATCCTATATAAAGAAAGTTATTATGTTTTAGCTAGTCCAATTTAGATAAATTACCCAAATTAATTTGACAAGACAGGGAGTAAGTATAATCTAACAACAAAGATATAATTTAGTACTCTGTAAATCACCTTATACGAGTATGATATTATGATGTACCGTAGTTCGTGACCTACCCAACCAAATTCCTTAATACACCTAATTTATTTTTATCGTTATAAACTCTTAAATCTAAGCCCAATGCATTATTATTTTTTTCAAGGTAAATTTTATATTTGTAATACATGTGACCTTAAGTTCATGTCTAATTTCGGAGCTCCGCTATTTAAAAAATAAAAATTTATTCCTGATTTTTTTATAGAATCATTGAAAATAATAATATTCTAAAAATAAAAATAAAAAAATCATCGCGAATATTCCACTAATTTGATCTAGAAATTTGGATATTCGAAATGCAAATATCCAAGGATTTTTAGATAGAATACAACAACTAAGATTCTATGAAAGTAGTGTTCGAGGAGAATGTATTTACGTAGACCTCGCCCGTACTAAGAAAATTCTAGATATCGGATCAATCCGAATTAATAGTACGTCCTGCCTTTGAATACTCACTTTGAATGTAAATAAAACTCTTGTTTTTTCTTTTGTATCCTTTTGGTTAATGAAATTTATCCAAACGTTTAATAAGCTTATGGTAAATCTCAAGAAAATTTTTATATGGAATACTATATATTCTAACACGACTCCTCATATATATGCAGGTATGGTCTTTTCGAGTCTAGCATGTGACATGTTATATTATTTTTTAAAAAATTAGACAGTGTTAGCAAGTTTCAAACTTGTAATTTTTGGTTAACAAGACTCTGATAGTATGTCAAGAAAAAAATCAAATCAACTAAAAACTCAAGTTAATTAGCTGTTGTAATTAAGTTCAATAAAGATTTTATATTGTTGCATGTCCAAAAATAAACTTTCTACCTCTTTTCTTTATAGAAGGTAAATGAATAAGTGGCGCTAAGTGGCTATTAATATTTGTTTCTCCACTAAAATAATTATACGCTCACTTTTTTTAACGACTCTTCTAAAATCAATGAAGTCAAAATAACATAGTTTTCACAATTGAATCGGTGATCGAATCGTGTTAGCGGGTATTTGTAATTTTGGACTGTAATTAGTTTATCGGGCCCACTTGTAGCCCTAAGCCCGCTTGTACTTGTATATATACACTTGCTTGTGATTAGTAAAATCAGATCAGTTTTACTCTAAATTTTACATGGTATCAGAGCCAAAACCCTAGGCTTGTGTGCGTTTCTGCTCTCAGGCGGTGTGCAACGCCGTGTTCCTTGTGTTCTTTTTTTTGCCGAACAGTCTCCTCCTCTTCAACGGAAGATCTGTTCAAGTTGGAGGTTTTCTGCCTTTTAATTGTTCCTTTTTGCGTGGTGCTGCTAATCTACATCATACAATTTGATATTGTGCGCTGCCTATTTGACATTGGGTGTTGCTGCCAGATTTTTTTTTCTTCTCTCTTTTGGTTTTAATCGGTCTTCGATTGAGCACCGCTGCAGTGTAGTGCTGATCGGCTGAGGAGGTATTCTGTTTTCTTGATTTGCTGAATTTGGGCCCGTGCCTTTTAAGGGGGAGTATCGCAATCGGGCTGCTCTTTTGTATTTGTTACTGCCCTGTGTTTTCTCTGTTGATTGACGTGTAGATGAAGACTTTTTAATATGCCTTACAGAGCAGGACACGGGACACTCACCGAACACCTGTCACCACGTAGAGTAGTATACTGTCCCCACGTTTCGTGTTTGACTGATGTAGTGCAGCGGCCTCCTTGTACTATAAGCTTGCCCGATGGGGCTCATGTGATGGCCAACTCGTGTGGACAAGTGCAAGTCTCTTCGACTTTGGTTTTAACTGATGTTCTTTATGTGCCTAATTTAAAGTGCAACTTGATCTCTGTGAATTGTCTTGTCAACTCTCATAACTGTCATTTTTCTTTGATGACCAATTTTGTGTGATACAGGACCGAACTTCGAAGACGCAGATTGGACGATGTGAAGTGCGCAATGGAGTTTATGTCCTTCCATCCTTCGCCCAAGCGTCCAAAGCCGAGTCTATTTCTCTTTTGCATCAGCGTCTTGGTCATCTGTCACCTCAAGTTATGTCTTTACCTCCTTTTAATAAAAGTGCAGCTGAAATTAAAAATTTTCAGTCTTGTGACATTTGTTTCTTTTCCAAGCAAACTCGTTCTAGTTTTCCTTCAAGTCTGAATAAAGCTGATGCCTTGTTTGATTTAATTCACTGTGATTTATGGGGCCCATATTCCCCATGTTTGTCTACTGGTTCCCATTATTTTCTTACTATTGTTGATGATTATTCTAGAGCTGTTTGGGTTTTCCTTATAATTGACAAAACAGAAGTTACTAGTTGTCTCAAACAGTTCTTCCAAATGATTCAAACCCAATTTGGGAAAGTTATAAAAGTTGTTCGTACAGATAATGGGACTGAGTTTGTGAATAAACCCTTGCGTCAATTTTACTCTTCCATGGGGGTACTTGTTCAAACCTCATGCGTTAACACCCCACAACAAAATGGGCGTGTGGAACGCAAACACA